GTGGCCAGGAGGCCATGCCTCCTGGCCAGCATGCCGTGCGCCTGGCCCGTGGGAGGCATGGCCTCCAGTGGTCTGAGTAAAGGAGTTTCCCCCACGATTCCCTCCGCGCTCTGTGAGCCGACTGTCTCACCTGCTCAGGCCCCTCGTGGCCGTGGCAGCTGCGGCTAGCTGTCAGGGGCGCGACACCATGAGCCTCTCGTGCTCGGCTCCACCCCAGGCACCCACAGCCCTGCCACCCTCCATTGGGCCTTCCTGCCGCCAGCCCACTCACAAATGTCGCCCAGGCAGGCCCCGCCGCCAGCCCGGCCGCTGCCAGCAGCACACGCCAGGCAGGCCGCCAGCACACAAGCAGGGCCCGCGGCAAGGCTGCTGACTCGCCCGCCTGCGAGGGTTCGTCCTGGCATCTAAAGGTCAGGGTGCCGGCTGCAGCTGCAGAAAGCACGGCCCCTCAGGAGCCAAGCGGGTCAACGGCCCGAGAAGAACAGGCCTGGGGAGTCAGAGACTGAACCTCTCCTGCGTCTTCCTCCACCTGCTGCTGCGCATCCAGCCACCATCACCTCCCCCTCCCGGGATGCTTGCAGCGCCGGCTGGTCTCCCGCTCAGCCCAGCAGCCCCGGGAACCCCGCCACCCATCACAGGTCACGCCACTCGCCGCCGAGGAGCCCACAAAGGCCCTTCTCACAGAATAAAAGCCTGAAAGACCAGGTCCTTCCTGTGACAAGCCCCTCCCCCTGCACCCCAGGATGCCCCCTCCCTCCCCCGTGCACTGTCTTCAGGGCCCTTTGCTCTCAGACACACCAGCACTGATCCCGAACCAGGGCCTTTGCCCTTGCTGGCCCTCTGCCTGGACCCCTCTGCTCCAGCCTCCCGGGGACTGTGCCCTCTCCTCTGCACATCTTGTTCCCGGGAGGCCTGAGGGAGTGGCGCACCCACCTCTGGACTCCCCACCCCACGTCCCTGCTGTCTATCTGGATGACAGTCACACACACACACACACACACACACACACACACACCCCGCCGACGGAGCTTGGCTCGGCCCGGCCTCTCCTGCTCACTGCACGCCGGGACAGCACAGATTCCGGTCTGTCTCCTTCTGCTGTGTCTCCAGCACCTGAAACTGTTGCTGGCACCCAGTATGGGTGAAGTAAATATTGGATGAGTGAATAAATGATCAAACTCTCAAAATGTTGAAAAGGCCTCCTCTCATTCTCATCAATGAGGCCAAGCGAAGATCCTCCCGCAGGTCACAGCCAGGAGGGCTAACCCGCTCCCTCAGGCCTCGCGTGCAAACTGATGGGGCGGGAGCGACATGCCCGCAGGTCCCACGGGGATTAACAGGAAAGGAGGCAAAAACCCGGACCACGGACTCCCGGCCAGAGGCCTTTCCACCTCTGACCAGGTTCACTGGAGGGAGGTTTACAAATCTGTACTAAAAGCCTATGTGGCCGTCTCGCCCTCACGCCCTCGTGCTGTAACAATCCATCACCAGGAGGCTGCGTGTGCAGAGGGCGGGCGGGCGGGCGGGCACGGGTGGGCGGGGACTTGGCGCTGTGTGCGCAGTGCAGAGGCAGGTCCCGGTGGCTCTGCGAGGCGACGCCGGGGGTCCCAGCAGTTCCGCACGGAGCCATGGGGGCAGGTCCCAGCAGCTCTGCACAGCAATGCCAGGGGCAGGGCCCCCGACTCCGGCCTACCTCTTTGGGGCAATCCATCGAGGAGCCCCAGCTGGGTGAGTGGGGTCTACCTCTTTGGGGAGATCAATCACAGGGCTCCCGCACTGTGAGAGGGCACAGGCCAGGCTGGGGACACACACCCCCCCCCCCCCGTGCATGAATTTCTTGCACCAGGCCTCTAGTTCAATGATGGCGAACCTTTTGAGCTCGGCGTGTCACCATTTTGAAAAACCCTAACTTAACTCTGGTGCCGTGTCACATATACACATTTTTTGATATTTGCAACCATAGTAAAACAAAGACTTACATTTTTGATATTTATTTTATATATTTAAATGCCATTTAACAAAGAAAAATCAACCAAAAAAATGAGTTCGCGTGTCACCTCTGACACGCATGTCATAGGTTCACCATCACTGCTCTAGTTAAAAAATAATGACCAAGCAAAAGGGAGGAATGGGAGGGCAAGGATTTGGTCTGATGAGAATGAAATTGATGAGCACCACCTGGCACAGACAGCAGCCCTGCTCAGCAGAGTTCAAGCAAGGAGCGCTGGGAGACGTGGCGGGGACTAAGCAGGGTCGGGTCACGAAGGGCCTGAGGCATGATGGGAAACACTCCTGCTTCTCAGCACCCCTTTCAGGGGCTCCAAACCCAGCCCGCCTCTGTGAGCACCGCGTGGGGCAGAGCGTGTCTTGTAAACGCCAAACCCCTGGAGACTACACCTGCCAAGCACAAGGACAGCAGCCGCAGGCTCGCCCAGGACACCCATCAGGGTCGCGGGAAGGAGCGCGAGGGAACGATCACTAGGAATCACTCTCATCGTTCAGGGCTGTGCCACAGACAAGCCCCTCACAGCCCTGCACTGCGTGGGGGTGTCTTCCTGCTTCAAGTTCCTCTGGGTTCGGGTCCACACTCAAAACAAAGAGCTGAGCAGTCATGGAAGCACCTGAAGGGCTGGCAAAGCCACGGGACCTGGCAGGGACCTGCCCGGGTAGACGGTGCCTATGGCCAACGGTCACCACTGCCCTCCTGACGGGAAAAGGACAAACCTTTGCAACTCCTGTCCCGCGACGCAGCGGCACTGCCAGGGCAAGGCCGCCACCAGGGCAGGGGGCACGAGGCACAGGGCAGCTGCACAGGCCATGGCAGGCCACCCTCCCCGGGTCCTGCACCGGCAGTGACAGCCCCTAACTGTCCTCCACGTCCTCCCGTGTAACTGTAACACGGGAGCTGCTCTCAGAAATGCCTGGGCACAGCCCTGCACGGCACGGCACGGGCACGGACGGAGAAGGAAGGCTGTCTCTGGGACATGGATCTCAGAGAAGTCGAGGGCTGCCTCCGTCTCCTGCGGCCGTCCCAACCCATGGCCACAACTCAGGGTTTCCAACCGCAGACACTTGTCCTCTCCTGGTCCTGGGGGCTAGAAAGCAAAGTCGAGGTGTCGCGGGGCCACCCTCTCGGAAGGCTCTGGGGGAGGGCCCGCCTGCCTCTTGTCACTCCCACGGGCTCCCAGGTCCCTCGGGGCTCCCTGGCTTGTAAGCGCCTCGTTACAATCGCTGCCTCCAGCTTCAAACGGCGTCTCCCCAAGGTCTGCGCCTCTGTCCAAACTTCTCTCTTCTTAGCAGGACACCAGGCACTGGGCTAGGACCCACCTACCCCAGTGTGAGCCCTTAACCTGATGACGCCGCACAAGGTCCCAGTCGCAGGCTCATGGATTTGGGGGGGGCACCACTGAACTCAGTCCGATGACGAATCACCAAGAGACAGTCATCCATCCAAAGGTTTATTCACATCAGAACCACACCCGGGAGCTCGACTGTGCCTCCATCTGGATTGGTTGTTACGTGATTCGGACTGAAGTGGCACCAAACCTCAAGACCTAAAACCCACATGTGCGTTCTTTTTTTTAGTTTTCACTGATTTGAGAGAGAGAAAGGGAGAGAGAGATAGAAACATCAATGATGAGACAGTCATGGATAGGCTGCCTCCTGCACGCCCCCTACTGGGGGCTGAGCCCACAGCGCGGTGGACGAGCAGCCGGAAGCCTGCCCTGGGTCAGCACCTGCCCTGGGTCAGCACGTGCCCTGACTGGGAACTGAACCGTGACCTCCTGGTTCACAGGTCGGTGCTCAACCACTGAGCCACGCCCCGGGCAACGTGTGTTCTGATGCCACGTGGTTCCTCCTCCGAGTCCGCGTTCCGGAGCACTCCTCCCTGTCACTCCTGGGGCTTCCTATTTGCTGCCGGTCCAGGTTTTCACATCCTCTTGGACCCCCACGCTGGTTCTAATGAAAACTCTTTCTGTTCCTCAGTCAAGCACAGTCCTACACAGCAAAGAGGGTCTCGGGGACCCCCTCCCGGTCGGCGGCTCACCCTGCGAGCCCCACAACCTCTGCCCAGACACAGCGGTCTCCAAAGCGCACGATCCACACGCGCACGTGGTGTTTCTCAGGAACCCTGATGCCGAAGCTGGGCCTGGGCTGAGTCCCCTGGGATTAGGGTCACACCACGATTCTTGGGGTCCAGTATCGGTTTCCAGACAAAATGGGCTTAGAAATCCTGGCCTTTGTTTACACTCCTCCCTCCACCAGTGCTACTCCCTCCTCCCACCTGCGCTCCTCCATCCACGGGTGCTCCCCCGCCCCCCGCTGCTCCCCCCACAGGTGCTCCTCCCCCGCCCCCGCTCCTCCCCCATCAGCGCTCCTCCCCCGCCCCACCTCATCCCCCCACCTACGCTCCTCCCCCCACTGGCTCCTCCCCCGCCCCCGCTCCTCCCCCCACCCAGGCTCCTCCCCTCACCAGCGCCCTGAGGAGTCTTCTCCCTCCAGCTCTGCGCCCCTCAGGCCGGGCTGGGCGGTGACAGCCCCTCGAGGAGGCCTAGGGGAGCCCTGGCGCCCCGGGCCGCGGCGGGAGCCGGTCTGTTTTTCATCGCTCTGCTTCCTGCCGCGGAGTCAAGCTAGTGGGGCCACGGAGCTTCTCGGGGCGCCTCCCACCGACCTTCGCGCGCCCGGCAGAGCGGCGGCCACGGAGGGACCGGCCAGCCTGGGGGTCAGCGCCGCCGCGCCCCGAGCAGCCCGCCAGCCGCCTCCGGACCCCGCCAGGCCCCGCGGCCTCGCCCCGGCACCCAGGACGGCGGGAAGGCCCCCCCTCCCGGCCGCGCCCCCTCCCGGCCGCGCCTCCAGACCCCGCGCCCCGACCCAGGCCCCTCACCCGCGCAGGCCCCCGCGAGCCCAGGCGACCCCGCCCCGAGACCCCCACGCCCCCCGCCCCGCAGCAGGCCGACCTCTGACCCCTGACCCCAGCCCAGCGCGCCCGTCACACCCACCTGCCCGGGACCTTGCTGTTGCTGCGCTTCCAGAACTGCTTCCTGGCCCCGTCGCTGGACATGGCGCCTCCTCATCCCTCAGGCCTGCGGCCCCGACACCCCGAGCGCGGCCGGCCCGCCCCGGCGGTTCTCTCCTGCACCCCGGGGGGCCCTCAGCCGTCCCGGGACACCCCAGCGCAGAGCCAGCGACTCTTCCGCCTCCCTCCGGAAGTTGTGCCTCCGCGCACCCGGAAGTCCCGCCCACGTCCCCGGCGCGCGTGAAAGAGCGACGCCCGGCGGCGCGGCGGTGGAAGTGCAGCGGCGGACCTGCCCTGGGTCCACTGACAGGTCCTCTTAGGCCCTAACAGCGGTTCTCAACCTTCTGGCCCTTTAAATACAGCTCCTCATGCTGTGACCCAGCCATAACATTATTTTCGTTGCTACTTCATAACTGTCATGTTGCTACTGTGATGAATCGTCATGTAAATATCTGAGATGCAGGATGGTCTTAGGCGACCCCTGTGAAAGGGTCGTTGGACCGCCAAAGGGGTCGCAACCCACAGGTTGAGAACCGCTGCGAGAGGTCCTGAGTCAATGGCAGGCGACACCCCGCTGCGGCCGGTCCGGGCTGTGCGCCGCCTGTTGGAGGGAAGGGGAAGGGGTCAGGCCTGGAGGCCGGAGCAGTGCCCTGCGTGTCGGGCCGGTCCCTGGCTGCAGGATGTCCAAGGCTTCGAGCAAAGTGAAGCTGAAATATTACTTTTTACATTGATCACAGGTTGAAATAAGTATTTCTGGTATATGGGCTCCACTAAACTATATTGCCAAAATTCTTTTCACTTCTTATTTTACTTTTTTTTTTACGTTACATTTATTGGGGTGGCTTGGTCCACCTGAACATATAGGTTTCAGGTGTGGGTTCCTATGTGACAAGATCCATATATTGCACCACGTGCTCACTGCCCAAAGTCAAATATTTTACTTTTTTAACGTGGCCACCGAAACATGTTACCTTAGGTATGTGGCTTGCGTTGAATTCCTCTCGGCCGGTGGCAAAGACCGGGGCGTCAGGGACCAGCATTCAGGCTGGATCTGCAGTAGAACTTCTGGGGGTTACGTGCTCTGATTAAAGTTTCCCCATGCCCCCCCCCCCCCATCACCGACGGGACGTACATTGAGTTAGAGCTGCCTTGCATTGCGCCAGGTACGGCGTACGCATTGCCTCAGGCATAGGCCAGCCAGCTCCCCCAGGAAAGATCACCCCTTGTCTCGGAACGGAATGTGGCTCCCTTGGCTCTCACGACCCTGAGTTGTTGTTGTTTTTTTCTTTTAAGATATTTTTATTGATTCAGAGAGGAAGGGAGAGGGGGAGAGAGAGAGGAGCATCAATGATGAGAGAGAATCATTGACTGGCTGCCTCCTGCACGCCCCCCACTGGGAAAGCCCGCAACCTGGGCCTGTGCCCTGAGCGGGACTGGAACCTTGGCCTCCTGGTTCACAGGTCAATGTTCAGCCACTGAGCCACGCGGCCGGGCACAGCCCTGAGTTCTTTACCCCGCTCGTGTCCGCAGGGCTCCCGCGGCTCCGGACCCACCCCGTAGCCTCGCAGAGCCCTTGTCTTCCATGGGACCTTTCCTCCTCTCTGTCCGGCGCTGACTCACCGCCTCCGCCTCCTCCCTCGACCACTCCCTCAGGCACGAAGCCCATTAAACGCACAGTGACGCCTGGTTGGCATCAGAAAGGCTCCGGACAAAGCCGTGGGCCTGCTGACCACAGGAACTAAATACAACGTCGGGCCTCAGGTCTCGGCCCAAGGCCCATGAAGGCAGACATCCCCCCACCACACCCCGAAACTAGTCAGACTGGCACACGCGGTGTCAGAACCTGAACCAGCAACCAACTCCTTCCTGCCCTGGCCCCAGCCCGTCGGGAGAGCCCGGGCCCCCACCCCCTTAGTCACCGTGATCGATGATGTTCCCCGTGTCCGGCCTGCCCCTGGGGGCGCTCTATGCGTCTCACATGGAATCCTCCAGAAATCTCCTCGTCTCAGCTGTGGAAACCCTACAGTGATCCCTCCCAGGAGTAACCTCAGCAGATGCTCTGTGACCCCTGCCGACCCCTCAGTAAGACCCCCGTGACCCTGACGACCCCTCAGTAGGCCCCCGTGACCCTGACGACCCCTCAGTAGGTCCCCCGTGACCCTGCCGACCCCTCAGTAAGACCCCCGTGACCCTGCCGACCCCTCAGTAGGTCCCCGTGACCCTGCCGACCCCTCAGTAGGTCCCCGTGACCCTGCCGACCCCTCAGTAGGTCCCCGTGACCCTGCCAACCCCTCAGTAAGACCCCCGTGACCCTGCCGACCCCTCAGTAGGTCCCCGTGACCCTGCCGACCCCTCAGTAGGTCCCCGTGACCCTGCCGACCCCTCAGTAGGTCCCCGTGACCCTGCCGACCCCTCAGTAGGTCCCCGTGACCCTGCCAACCCCTCAGTAAGACCCCCGTGACCCTGCCGACCCCTCAGTAGGTCCCCGTGACCCTGCCGACCCCTCAGTAGGTCCCCGTGACCCTGCCGACCCCTCAGTAGGTCCCCGTGACCCAGCGACCCCTCAGTAGGTCCCCGTGACCCCTGCTGACCCCTCAGTAGGTCCCCGTGACCCTGCCGACCCCTCAGTAGGTCCCATGTGACCCTGCGACCCCTCAGTAGGTCCCCGGGACCCTGCCGACCCCTCAGTAGGTCTCCGTGACCCTGCTGACCCCTCAGTAGGTCCCATGTGACCCTGCGACCCCTCAGTAGGTCCCCGGGACCCTGCCGACCCCTCAGTAGGCCCCCGTGACCCAGCGACCCCTCAGTAGGTCCCCGTGACCCCTGCTGACCCCTCAGTAGGTCCCCGTGACCCTGCGACCCCTCAGTAGGTCCCCGTGACCCTGCCGACCCCTCAGTAGGTCCCCGTGACCCTGCGACCCCTCAGTAGGTCCCCGGGACCCTGCCGACCCCTCAGTAGGTCCCATGTGACCCTGCAACCCCTCAGTAGGTCCCCGTGACCCTGCCAACCCCTCAGTAGGTCCCTGTGACCCCTGCTGACCCCTCAGTAGGTCCCCGTGACCCCGCGACCCCTCAGTAGGTCCTGGCTCCTGTGCGGCTCTGCCTGTCGAACGTTCCCGGGACCCTGTCCTCACGTGACCTCAGGGAAGCCCCTGACCGAGCCCTGGGGGGGCCTGAGGGGTCCTTCCTGGGGGGCCCGGGGAAGGCTGCTGGCCCCTCCCGTGGAGCCCAGGGATGTGGTCACAGCCCGAGGCCCCCACACGCCCTCCTCAGAGGCCCTCAGCCTCGGGGCCGCAGAGACGTGATGGGAGCAGGTGCGGAGGGCGCGGTGGGGGGGGCCGAGGCCGGCAGGACAGGCGTGGAGCACCCCTGCCCGCGCGGGGTGCCCCTCGGGGCTCCCGCCTCGACCACCAGCGGGGGACCACGGCGACGAGCCCCCAGGCGTGGCTGGTCCTCGCCCAGCTCCTGGGTGACCTGCAGTGACGGTGAACTGTGTGGAGTCACGGACCGAAGGCCGGCCCTGTCCAGGGGACCGAGCCCCGGCACAGCCGCTGGACGTGACCCGAGGCACCATCCGAGGGCCGGCCGGCCCCCCATCAGCCCCGGGCGGATGGCAGGGTGCAGGCTGGACGGGGCGGACGGGAGCCTCAGGGGCAGCCCTGGGCAGCGCCTCCTGGCCGCTGCTGGTGCCTCCCCCGTCGCCTCCTAGAGCAGGCTCAGCCTTCAGCTCTGTCCTCGCCGCCCAGGCCCCTCTCCGTCTCCCAGGGGCGCCGCGGCTCCTGTCCCTCAGCCCACAGCCACCCTGGCGGCCGGATCCTTCCCAGACCTGAGGCTGGGGCGGCCCTCCCTGCGGTGCTCACAGCCACCGCCAGGGGGCGCGCGGGGCCGCGGGAGGCGGGCCGCCAGGTCAGCCACAGGGAAGTCGGGGACCCCAGGCTGCCTGGGGTTCGGGTCCATGCCAACGCTCCTGCGTTGAGTGAGACGCCTGGACAGAAGCCCGGGAGCCTGCGGGAGCCGGGCAGTGCCGCCTGCCCCGAGTGACCCAGGTCTACAGGCCCAGCAGCCTGCCCTGCGCCCCGGGCATAGGGCAGCCCGGACCCCCCGCCTTGAAGGTCAAGCAGTGCCTGGAGAGTGGCGGAGCCCAGGCAGCCCAGGCAGGGAGAGGCCTCTGCCAGGGCCGGCGGTGCCAATGCCAGGCACCCGCCGACCGCCGGCGGGCAGCGCCCTGGGGCTCCGACGCTGCCTGCAGGGCCCCCCAACCCCACCTCCCCCCAACATCTGGGCTGGGATTTGCAAGTCCCAGCAGCAGACTGTGTGCTCACCCGCTCCCACTCTTGCCCTCACCACTCTGCCTGCAGGGGTTTCCGGTAGGCGACCACCTCCCCCCACCCCGCCGCCTTCCCTGGCTCCTGGGTCGGAGCAGGCTGGGTGCGCTCTGCAGCTGGGCTGGATGGAAGGGACCGGAAAGAAGTGGAGACGAGAGAGCTAGGGCCCCCTGTCCCGGCCCCAAGGCCTGGAACCCGGCACCTGTCCTGGCCCTCGGCCCAGCTCACTGCCCGGAGGACAAGCGGCCGCGGCAGGAGTTGCTGTCAGAGGGGGGGCTCCGCTCCCCACGGGCCACACCGGCATCAGGCCCAGGCGTGTCCCACAGAGAAGGGGCCTGGAGGGAGGGGAGGCAGCCTGGGCACGTCCGGCACCTCAGGGCCTCATCTTCCACCTGTAACACCACCCGGGCCCTGGCCCGGCCCAGCGTGTTCTCTCCCCCGGGGTCTCCGGGGGCAGCGGGAGGGAGGGCCAGGCTCCTGTGCCCAGAGCAGGCTGTGCGTCCTGCGTGAACACTGCAGACAAAACCCCTCACGCCCTCCTCCTCGCCCAGTGAGGACAGGCCGGAGCAGCCTGACCGGAGTCCCCGCGGGAATGGACGGGAGGAGGACATTTAGGAAGCGCCTGGGCCAGGCTGTCCCTGTCTCCACGCTGGGGGCAGGTCAGGCTGGGCCGGCGGGCAGCCTGGACCAGGCGACCCAGGGAGCTGCAGGCTGTAGGCTGTTGCTGCCTGGAGGGGGGTGTAGTGTCAGCCCTTCCGCTGTGTCTCACTGGGGTCTTAGGGTCAAGGCAGAGAGGAGGGGGCAGGAGGGAAAGGGGAGGAAGAAGGGAGAGAGGAGGCGGGAGGAAGGGGAAGGAG